GAGTTGTACGGCCGCACCTCCCAATCCTGGCGAGCAGATAACGTCCCACAGATTTCTACACGAATAAGCCATGATGTATCCTCAGTAATCTCTATTGGTAAAACGTCTTAAAATTAGTTAAACAATGTCCATGGGACTGAAGAAGCAGATATATAGCGAGCATAAAGTTTATTGAAATTATAGTGAAAGCAAAAATGATAAGTAATTGATCACATTTAACGCCCTCTGGAATGGTCGGGTTGGGAATCGTGTTGGGAATGTGTATTCCACAAGTTCTAGGCTACATTCAAACGACTAAATTATAGATGTGCTTCTTCCATTTCATTCTCATAATTTTCTACCCTAAAAGTCCAGTTCCTTTAGTGAAAATTAGTTCTTTAAATCAGGACAGAGATCGGCAAATACAAGCTCCAGGAAATAAAATCACAAATTTAAAAAAACTGTGCGATTTTAATTTATTTTCATAATCTTTAAGAGGAAGATATGTTGCTCTAATATCCAATTTGATTCTCTTAGGAAATCAAGTTCTGCAATTGCGTAGAGCTTAGTACTTTCGTAGGGCAGGGGTTTACCTATTGCTACAACAAAAATAGTTCATCTGACCTCATACTTCATTACGCTTATTGGACAAAAATTTGTAAAATAGGCTTTCCTTTCTTTGTATTCAAGAAAATACACAGTTGGCCAGAAAACCCTAAGCACCTTTTGTATATCTTCCTCTAATTAAGGTAGATTTGATCAAGTCAGAGGAATTAGGGCAATGAAGGAAGACAAATCCATTTTCATGTAGGCCTGTGAGAGAATAAGTGTATTAAAAGGAAATGTGAATTTTTTTCTCTTCATCCAGCTTAAAATGTTACTAGGATTTGAAATGGCAAATGGATTAAGAATTTGTAAAATTACAAATGCTTCCCTAGGCTGGGCAAAATTAATATTAACGTATTATTATCTCAAAATTTAAATGAAATAGATTGGGGAATTGTCTAAATTTATTATGATTACTAAATTTACGGACAATTGATTTCATTTCCATTCCAATCATTCATGACATCTCTACCCTTTTTCCACACAAAATTATGTTTTTTTGTAATAAGACTTGTAAAATAACCACAAAGTTTGGATTAACTTTTTAATATTTTATTCCTATTTGCTTTTAGATGGAAAAAAAGTTGGATTTGCAATTGCAACTTCATCGGAGAAAACTTTTGACGATGAAATGGGGCAGGCGGATCCTCTGTTTAAAGATTTTGTCCGTAAATGTTTGGCGTAAGTTTCAATTTCACTCTTTCTTGGTACCCATAATTTCGATTACAAAAGGATTCGTCTGTTCTATTTCCTTGCTAAACGTTCCTAACATAGTTCAATTTAATTTACTATTAAAGGTGGAATCCAGAGGATCGAATAACAGTCAAGGAAGCCTTGAAACATCCCTGGATTAAAAACGAAAAATCCTTGAAATACACAACTGAAATTGGCAGTGAGTTTGACAAAAAATAATGTGACAATATTATTCACCTGTTTGTTAACTCTGGGTCTACCAATGCGTTAAGTTTTGTTTAAATAAGATTATAGGTTAGAATTAGATTAATAGACTGGTTAAAGAAAAAGCAGTACTGACCAGATTAATATTCATTGTTCCTATTCGGTCTTCTGCATTTTTCCCCATTGTAAACACATCCATCTATTTCATGACAGAGTATGGAATTTCATGTTTCGGCAACAATTCTGACGAGTTGTTAGATTTTTGGAGCATAGCCAAGTGTCAATTTGATATATTCTATTTCAACTGACGTCGATTAGTATCCACTCAAGACAAAAAAACTACGTGATCGAATTTGCATTTCACCTGGGAATATTCATATTTCCTCAATTAGGAAGCGCCTTTATTGACGTGACTTTAATGATCATTCCACAATGCATTAGCTTAGAAATTAGGTCTTTCTTCTTGCCATTTCTATTTTGGAAGGTTATGTCAGAACTAGAGAGTTCAATAAATGTGAAATTACCTTTGGTGGATAAAAGGGCAAAGTCATGGACAATCGGGCCAGAACCAAAATTTTCATTTTATGGAATGGAAAAGGTCCTGAGAAAAGATGAAGTATTGGAAAGACCAAAGATTTATTCTCACATTTTACTACCCCTATATTAACTAGAATGAGTTAAGAGGGTTGGTCACCTAGACGGCAGGATATGTGCCGGTGGGAAATGATTTTGCAATTTTTGACTTGGCATGCATACATGTTCATCATTGATAATAATAATACTAATAATAATAATAACGCAAGTCAATTTATTTTAATATTGCATAGAACACACGGATCGACCAATAGAATTCATAAAATTTCAGTTCTACAATGCTGAAGAGAGCCTCTAAAGGCTTTATAGTTAGAAATATTGTATTTAAATATTTTCTTCCAGACTTAACTATATTCATGGAAAACTTTCATTCTTTAACTGAGCAGCCATGGAATTGGGTAAATTATCTGAATTTGTATATCAGAAAATTCAAATAAGCGGAGTGATTGTCACAATCAATAGCTTTCACATGATTGTTGTACCAAACGCAAAAAGGTTAATTTAACGGACTCCTTCTTTGGGTTTAATCACTCAGGCATTTTGAAACACCCCTACTTTCCTGGATCTAATTCACTATAAATGAATTTTAGTCGTGGTTGCATTATATTTAATAAAAAACTGATTAAAAATAGGTTGTAACCCGAAATTTCTTATTCTCCTCCAAGAAAAAACTTCAACTCGCAAGCAGCGTGATGAATCTTTGATTAATTTCAAAGATTTGCATATATCAAGCCCTTCTGACAAACGGTTTGAACGTCAAGGAAGTGGTGTAAGGTAAGTCACTGGGTAGCTAGAATAATTCCTACATTGTTTCCTTTAAATGTTAAATGAAACTGTTTAGGTTATATATTATGGATAGGTTATTCAGTATTTATAAAATGGTAATGATAGATTTTAGACAGGAAATAAAAAGAGAAATTAATGACAGAGACCGTCATCGCATACTTTATGAGTAGAACTGATATATGTGTGATTTATCAAGTTCAACATCTACTGACTAGAAAATTTTATAAAATTATCCTTAATATTTAACATTTAAAACGTGGTTAACTTTTGCACCGTCAGTTGGCAAACGAAGCATTACTTATAATTCTAACAAAAATATATTAGACTCACCCAAATAACTGATAAATTATGGGTAATATCTAATAAATTATTAGTGTTAAAGATGCTTAAATTTCTTTTTATTGCAAAATTGGCAATTTATAAATTGAATCTTACGTATTTTGGCTAAACTACAAAGAATGTATTAGCATTTACAGCATATACATGTAATATTCATATATTGAAAGTGCTATATTTTTTATTTCAACTAGTTTTCAATGGCTGCAGCCAATGGATCTCAAAATCCGAAATAACACATATGAAAAAACAGCTGTCTGTTGAGCCTGAAATACTTATTCAGCACTTTCAGCATTCATTTTGTTTCCACCTTTTTATAAACGACTATTTCTATTTCTGTACGTATGGCTATATGTTGATTCAAGAAATCAATAAATCAGATTTTCTTAATGGATTTTTTTGATTTGTTTACTGGATGCGTAGTTTTCACATATTGCTGCTTACTACTTAAATTGGTGTGGATTTATGCTAATTTAAATTATAACGCTCCTAGAAGATAAATGAATATGAGGAGTATGCCATACGCAAATGCAACTATGCAAACTGCAAACTACTTCTGATAATCATAAGGCTAATTATAATTTCTCACCATGTTGTGCAGTAGGAACAAAATATGGAAATCAATGTGAAATACAACCACGAAAAAGTTCCAAAATATTGCGATAGCTCCCTTATTCATCGAAATTTTAGAAGCAGTGCTAAAATATTTAATACTATATTTCAAGATCATTTTGAAAATTTAATTTTTAAACAATGGTTACTTAGATGCCAACAATCATTGTATTTAGAAACAAATATTAGGCAGTAATTTCAATACAGGGCAAAATATTAAGCGTCAAGCTAGTGAAATCTGTATAATGGGAGAAGATTAATGTCGTTGACTCAATTATGAAGGTAGAAATTTGTTTCTTATAAAACATTACATTTCCAGTAACTTAAAAAATATTCGGCAATATTTTTGTTAGATAGTAGAGCCATAATTTAATAATCAATATTCTGAGCAACGAAAAGTTCTAATTACCTGATATTGAACGTAAACTTCTAAAGCTTTTAGTATGTTAACTCATAGCGTTTATATGGCGCGTAAATTGGTCCTCGCATTAACAACCTCGAGGACTCAATGTGCCAGATTTAATTTTTCAAGGTTAAATCCGAATGGTGTTTCCAGAAAGTCTACTCAATAACCTGTTTGTTTTGGTGGATTAAGTGTCGATTTTTGTGCGTAATTGGGCGCTTTATAAGTTTAAGTGTTTCATATAGTAAAATGTTAGCAAATAAGTGACCCAACGTTCATATTTTTGTTCAGAAAAAAAGATGGCGAAAACTGAGGAGTGTTTTATAATGACTTTGGAAGAATTGGCAAAATTTGCAGATGAATCTGTTGCAGTATCAGACTTGGAAGAAAAGAAGAAAACAATTACTAATGTTTTGGCTTCTTTGAATTGCTCTATTACAGCAAAAGGTTTTAAATGCCATTATTTTTATGCCGTTTTTAGCGTCATTTCGTGATCTTTTTTACAAAGATAATAGGCACATTGGAAATATATTATTTATTTTGCAAGTATATTTATCTCAAAATGTTCGTATACAATCGATTGCACTTTTAAGAAAGCTATCTACTGGCGCAGGTTGGTGTTTTATTTTACTTGCTATATTTCCCAATTTAGCTGAAGAAAAAATTCTTAATGACATAGTTAATGCTGATGGAACACGAATTATACTGCAGGCGCTTTGTGCAGAATTCGCAGAGACCGATTCTGATGAAGAATTAATGATAGACGTCCACAAAGTAAATCTCGATTGTTTTCTTTGCATAAAATATTTCTTCTCATTAGCTGCTCTATAAGCTTGCGCCATTTGATCAAAGATTCTCTCTTCGGGTTAAACTTAGCCAATGTATTCCCATAACTCTTAGTCTATTAAGAATACAGGTACGTAGCATTTAATTCGTTTAATTTTTAAATTGTCTAATATATTTTCTTTATATATTTACTTTATTTGCATCAGTCTTGTGTTATCTCTTTTAATGCTAAAACTTTGGATGTATAGTCAGTGTGCAAGAAGCTTCAAAATTATAAGAAGTGTCCCATTTGATTACAGAAGGGTAAATTAAAATAAGATATTTGTTTACAAGTATTAAATATGGAATATTACGGTTTATAATATACCGAAAATTCAATAGTGCACAACAGGTATTGAAAGTTTTAGCCATTAATTTCGATATGCTACTCGACACCTCTCGACATTTTGGGAAACTTGTCTATTTATTTAGTGTCGTTTGGTGTAATCCGTTGGTTGTGATGTTTCCTGCACTCGCATATGTGTCTGCTTCACCTTGTTCCAGTATGGTGTTTTTTCGACGTTCAGTTGGGAGTAGAGACGTCTCTCATATCCCTTTCATCATGATATAGGACACGAAACCTCTATCACAATCGCACTGTAATGAACTTGGTCAATTATAAATTTGCCGTTCATGTCTTATTTTAAGACGTTTTTTAGATATCTCCCTTTAGTAATATCGAATTGGAAGTGTTACGTGTGGATTCTGTGTGCAGTACTGAGTCCCTTTTTGTTATAAAATGGGCCAAGAGATGTTCTTATTAAAATTATTAATTGAACAGGTAAGGTAATAATTTTCCGGAGCGCATTGATCTCGATCGGAAGGAGCGTGAAATTAGTAAAATATCCTTTCTTTTATTCCTAAAATTTTAAATCTGAAATTGTTAACTGAGAGTTATCGGAGTTGATACACATCCAATTAGTGTATTGTAGAAGCGAGCTAGTAAAGTTTGGCGGACGGATTCGTGATCTTTCTCCTCGATCCAAGATGAGCCCTGAATGAACGTTCTCTTAAATGTGTCCCTGAGGTACATTCGAAATGTCACAACCTTAAGCTTTCACGTATTAGTATTTACCGCGTCTTAGTAGTTAAGATCTAAGTAAGTTCAGAAGAAAATGAATAGTCAATTCACCTCCACCCCTTACTGCCTTGAATTCAAATTTGGGTCAGATGAGTAGTTGGGCATCCAGCTTCGAATTTGTCTTTTCAGTTCACTGAACGAGATAGCAAGAATGAGATCACGATGGACAAGTTTATTGTCAGAAGTCATTTTTGATAGAATGGGATAAGACCGAATTAGTCTGAAATTTTCCTTAGCTATTGGAGATTGTGAAGACAACAGTGGTCGTATCTCAATGCTGATTTAGGTATGTGTTTACCAACGTAATGTGCATTTCTAAAGATGGTATAAACAACTTCAGTGATGTGTATTGTGTAGTTAACCTAACAACAATCATTCAATAATCCCATGTGTTCTTTTACTCAGAATAAAAACAAGCAACTTAAGCATCCATGATTTTTCTGTTGTGAAATTTGAGATCACAGCTGTGGATCAGGCATTCAAAGTTCTACGATGGGCATATGGTAGTCAACCCACAAAGATGTCGTGTTCGATCCACCGGACTTGATCTGAGGTGTGACCTCATTTCCATGTCCCCATTCCAATTCCCCTTAGCCACCCTCTCCTCCTCTGGTCCCTCATATTTTGCATGTCTCAACGAGATAGTCATAATTTCTCCACCCAAGTGTGCAAACCTAACGCCGCATAGATGTGAACCCCCATCTGCCATTACTATATTTCTATAAGTTTCATTATTAAAAGTAACCATTTGTTGAGGAGAAATCACTTCTCTGAATTCTTGCCTTTTGAAACAATTAGCCCTTAATACTCTATGGCGTTTTGGAAACATGTATTTGTATCAAATGGCAGGCTTTATGGTAGTTGTCACTGACCCTTTAGTTGACTTCGGACTTCAAAGAGGTGGAGGAACTGACAAAGTCACAAAAATTTGAAGGGGAAACAGAAGACTGATTCATAGATGCAAAATGGGCAGATACAAAGGTAGATAAAAGGTGAGGTGAGTACTGTGGAAGTGGTTGAATATGACATGCAATGAGGTCTTGGTGACTTGAAGTCAGAAGTGAACTGACTATTTGTGGACATTTCTGCCGCATGAGTATACCTTTCCCAGTGTGCACCACGTGGAGGTAAGTCCATCGCACACCCCGTTCTGGAAACATAATAATAAGCATTACAAAATCATTTGTATTAGTTCTCCAGGGTGTCTTAGATGCAGTGAACGCGCCAGTCATAACAAAAATTACTTAATGGAGTTCTGTGATTAAAGTGATTAGAGAACTGTCAAAATGCGGATTTTGAGTGGGAGAAATCCTCAGAGTTTTAACTTCCTACTGAGTGTGTTGGAGATTACCCTCTCTGTGTTTTTTTTGTGGATTAAATTAGGAAGGGTTTTATTTTTTAAACTATGTCAACACGATCTATTGGTCACACATTGCATACGAATTTTTTTATGGCTCAACGATTGATATTTTAATCGTCATTAATCAGTAAATATTTATTGATGATTTTATTACCCTTTTCGATTTGTCCTCACCGTCTCAATTAATTCACGCTGAATTTCTTTCAGTAATGTGTGTATCAGAGTGACTTTTCTTAAGACCTATCTGCTCTTTTTTAAACCAGGTAGCAAATATTCAGTCCATCGTGAATCATAACTCGCGTTATACGTCTATCCGATTGCCCAAGATCTCCCATTCAGCTCCAATAATCTCTAACGCCAACCAACAGACGCCTAGTCGGAATGAAAGTCGCCGATCTTCACTAAATATTCCTCGTCTCCCCACCTCTTTGACCAATAGAATCAACATCCTGCTTAGAGCCATTCTCTGCTACTGCTTTCGTAGGGGTCGGTCTAATACCGCTACCTTGGGACGTCTCGGTGTCCTAGGTCTTCTTTGCAAGGTACTGATGGTTGTTTCGGGGTTATCAACTACTCAGACGGGAGTTTTTCCTGCATCAGATGAGACTGTAAATAATAGAATGAGGGTGGAGAAATGCACTGGGAACGCGTTGAAGATAATGACCAACTTCTCAATTATCCACCAAGTTTTGGTGACCATGACTGCTATTATGAAGTGGCGTAAGTAATGACTTCTATACTCTTAGTTTCCATGCCCTTTAATCTTGCGACAGAATCTAATAAGTGAAAATGGTAATCCAATGTGAGAAAAGAAGGGGATTTGGTTGTGTCCTTTTTGTAAGGGACAGGAGTCCCCTGAGAAATGAGAGTGTTCGTATCACTTTTAGTAGTTTGCATCCTTTGCGACTATGAGCAGGTAGGTGTAATTAGCGAGCATAGCAACACTCATTCGAGTTTATCCAGTTAAAACTTTAATGTAATGCCCTAGTTTATTTTCCCAGTAATGTTAGAAATGATAGTTGTCTTAGCTAGACTATTGCAATAGTGTTATAAATGGCTAATACGCCCGTAAGTTTATGATAATAATAATGAGAATGGTGAATATTGGGTTTTCCATCAAAGCGATTTGGGGCTGGCTCGAAAAACGCTTTAGTTGAATACATTTCGGTATAATTTTTAATGTATTTCCCTTAGAATCTTGCTAATAGCTAATCAAGTTTTGATTCCCATATTTCATCTATTCGGCTAAAAACGGCCCATTAATTAATTTAATTATCATTATCTAATACCAAAACAAACATTTCTGAAGTGATTACCCATGCCCATGCTACTTTTGCTCGTTTTTTCTCCCGAATTTTGGAGGAATTAACTTCGCACTTTTGTTTCAAAATCGTTTTAAAATGGGAAATGCTAGCAATCCAAATTGATCAGGGTTACCTGGATCGCTTTAATTTATTGAAGTGCCGTGATCAATTTTGAAAACTGTTTACAAAATGGATGCATTTCCACGAACATTGACACTGAAACCCTACAAATTGGCACCTTCATGGTAATAAGTTATTTTTCTTTTTGTGCCTGTCTTTTGTTCTTATCATGTTTTCACGTTGCACCAGTTATATTGTCCATTGGTTTTAGCTCATTCTAGTCGATTGCTCTGTTTATAAGGCAATGCAAAAAGTATTATCAACCTAGATTATATGCCAGTAGAACCTTTGACTGCCAATCGAATTACAAATTACAAGTGAACACTGCGAAAACTTGTTAAGCTAATTGTGCCCCCTTGTCTTTACAAACGTTACCACTGTAGCGGATTGCTACGCTAGTAAAGCCTGACCGACTCAGAAATCTCTATTGCAGATTCTTCAACATCTAGCTAGACTCCCGAAACAAGCTAAGCTATAGCCCAGCTATGGAGGAAACAGACGCGTAGCACGGAGCACGTTTATTCAATACGTATATTGATAGCGAATTGTGTTTTTGGCAAAGCGATTAGTTATCAGATAAATCTAACATAATTTGAGTGAACATTAATAGCTAAATATCTGAGTAGTGTTCTGTAGCAGGATTTCTATTGGTCATTGGCTGTGCTTCTCCGCAACCAATCCGTGTGCGAGGTTGCACGGCCGCACCTTAATTTTAGTGTGTGCGCCCGTGATGAAGTGTCCCACACTACTACATCTCAGGTTGGGCACAAAAACAATGGAAGAACGTTTCCAGTAAGAGAGAAAAAATTGGAAGTATCAGACTCAAAATTCGTAAATTTATACTGTGGTTTAGTAAAAAAGTAAAATTCTAATAAATTGTTGGCGTTAGACTGCAACTAACAGCTTACGGAAAAAAAACGCCTTTCCAAAATGTGGTTGTCTAGAGTGGACTCCAGTGTAGTGCACAACAATTATGGGAATTCGAGACTGAAACAGAAAAGATCAGGAAGCGTAAGCATGTCATCCAATTATCTACACCCAACGAATAATGCAAAAAATCGATAATCGATAGCCCATATTTGAGCTTTCAATATATATGGAGATGGAACGCAACGACTGTCCGGTGTTTACGCACGCTTTCAAATAAGTAAGTTCAATTTCATGCAAAACTACTCGAGCTCTTCTATGTTATAAGCAGAGCAGAGCGTAACTCAATATTTACAAAATAGTACTAACGGATGATCGATAAGCGAATTAGAGTTATTTTTTAATGTTGTTAAACTGCAAGGCCTTGTGGCTTCAAACGAAATGTGGCCTCAATCACTACGGCTTCCTGATTCAAATCATTACCTCTTTTATTTCTGCTGGTTAAAAATAGTTTCATCCAATAAAATAACGTTATTCGTGTGCCAAATTGTAAATTACTGTCATATCTAATTTTACATTTTATTATTGGCTTTTGAGAATTGCGGCTAAAAAGATTATGAATGGTCACCTGATATCCATCTCTTTTTCCATGAGTCTTATTTCATACATCTGATAAGTAGTGCTTTGCCAATCTACGAAAGATATTTTTTCCATACTTCCGAAATGTTATCATATCTAAACTATTTATATCAAATGGCAGGCGTGTTTTGATAGTTATCATTAGCCCTGGAGCTGACTTCGGGGCTTCACAGAGAGGAGAAGGAGCATCAAAGTGACAAAAAGTCGAGATAAAACAGACAGACAGACACAAAGGCATAAAAAGGTAAGATGAGTACTTTGGAAGGGGTCGAATATGACATGTAGTCGGGCCATAGTAGTTTGAAGTCAGAAGTCAACTGCCGACCAATAGACCTTTTTGCCGTATAAGTATACGTTGCCCAGGGTGCACCACGAGGAAGTTAGTCTATTGCGCACCCCATATCTAAACTATGAACCAATGTCTGTTTTTTTTCTGACTTGCTTGTGTGCTTTGAATTACTCTCGTAAATGAATGCTCGAAGTTTGCCTTTGAGATCACATGATCTAATTTGATCGAAATAGCTTTATGCTATCCTGCTACTAGGGGAAGTAGTATAAAGCTGGGTCTTTTAAAGTAGTTTGGGGTTAAAGTAACTAGTTGTAACTCGTCTTACATCAAGAAACTTCATAAGAATGTCCGCAAACAAGCTAGTCAAATGCACACGCCGGTACGCAGAGCAGACCAATGATGGTCAGTGTGTGGTCTCTGGCTAGACCAAGGCATATGCTCAGCTTTATGCTGATTGTGCTAGGTGGGCAATTTGTGAACACGAACAAGATGGCTGCTTCTTATTTGCTATTTTTCATACTTCTTATAGACTTTATGCCCATTCTTACGTTATTCTTTTTTATCCTTTGACTCCTCATCAAACTCTCAAGGGATGTTGGAGAGCCAACTCAACTTTGCTTTGTATAGTTTGGTTTATGGCATTTCCTCCCTCTGTTCTTTCAGCTTTCTTCCACTCTCTTTAGCCTATCTCTCATCCTCATTCTCTCTCTCTCCTGCGCTATATCTTCGGTCTTGTTTTTGTCTTTTACTCTTTGGTTGTGCATGCGCTTGTCTTTGGGAAGACAACCAAAATTTGCAATGTTTGCTCTATGATGCCTGATGTTTTCAAGCGTCGTTCTTCATTCGTTTACAGTCCCCAACTCAACGATTACAAGTATTTAGTGATTGTAGTCCTCAGTTGAGGCGACTCAATTCTAGCACATTATCACTCGTTCCCGTGTCATTCATATTTGTTTGTATTACCGGTTGGAATTGCCGGTTTCAGTTAATTAAACAGGTATGATATTGATTTCCCTAAACCTACTGAAATATGGTCTTCTGGATTTTCGGTGGGAAAGGTCTTTGCACTGTCATTTCAATGTTTGTTTATGTGAAAAAAATATTTTTGCTCGGGTTTATGGGAAAGAAGAAAGGTAATTTCAATAGATAGCCCTATTTTTTGAAAGTGATCGGCCAAAAAAAATTTTTAAATTCGTTATTCTGTGTGTATGGATAGTACTTGGAGCTAACTCTTCTTTATCGATGGATGTATCGCTTGCGATGTTGACGGTCAAATTCAACCATCAACTAAATCGATTGGCACCACCAATTGCAGGTAGCTCATTCTACATAGAGGTTTACTTATAGTTGCGTTTATTTGCTTTTCAATGCAACTTTTCCTTCATTTAAATGTCATTACTCTCTTCCCCATTTACTCTTTGCTCTTAGTGGGTTTATGTGCCCTCAGAGATTCCTTTTCATTTCTTAGTAATCATATGAGCATTATGCGAAAGTATTAATTACTTGGTGATCGGTTTTCTCACCACCTTCAACCTCGTCGGTCATTGAGTTGAGTCTTCTTCTCATCTCTGAGGCTCTAGACAGATCGTCGCTAATCAATCGCAGAAGCTTAAGGAGGCGGACGAATTAATGCTGATTAACTTTATTAGGAATTAATAAAGTGCGCTCTTACATTTCGCTGATTGGTCAATGTTCAAAGGCAATAGTCTTCAAAGTTAGCGCTAGTACGTTTAATTTTAGGGGGTCACATAAGTCCTCGAAATTTCCCTTTAATGTTCACACAAGGTCAAGTGGAGTTATTAATTAAATGAACCCCGGGGGGCAGTAGCAATAACCACCTTGACCTAAATAATTTTCAAACCAAGATGGACTAGGTCGTCTTAGGTCCAGTTAGGACCCCCTTGAATCTCTTTTCTAATGCTTTAATGCCTCAAATTTTATTGGTTGCTACGCGACTGAAATTAAAAATATTTTTTTTGTCGAAAGGTGGAGATTGTTGGAGCTTAGGCATGGTTCTTCACTGAAGCATAATAATATAATCATTTTTTCAATGTTTGCATATGAAAAGGTCCCTTTAGTGGGTGGATGTAAGTAAAATGAGCTTGCAAAGGGGAATCATCTGTATGCTGAACTTTTTTAACTTCCCAGTTCGCTTTCGCAAACACTTTGCCGTCGATCTGCATGTTAGAGAGGTGGTTAATACCGTCTAATCTATTGCCGATTTTCTCGTTCTCTTGGTGAATATTTGATGAGGTTTCGTTTAAACCGATCTGACATTAAATGTGGAAATATTGCTAACGATCAGATCAATTCTAGTCGGAGGTTTGTATAATTTCCTGAATTCGTCGTTTATTTAGCGTATTTTCCCAACAGGAGTTCTTGTGGCTTGTAGTTTCTTAGCACAAAAATCTTTCACTTTATGTGGGAATCATTTATGTGATTGCTGACTGGACATTGTAGCTGGAACGACTTTTCACCCTTTTCAAGAAGAATGTGTGCGTGAAGTGGGAGTCATATGGCCAGTTTATCGTCATAGTTAAGTATAAATTAGCTTGGCTGGAAGAGAGCTACACTGGTTTTCTGTTTAATCCTGTTTTGGAGAAATCTTAAGGAAATAAACGGACCATATCCACATTCGAGCCGTGTTGCTACGAGTCTCAATTTTCCATCAACTTATGAACGTTTCCACTAATTATACCTTACTTACTAATCACTGCAGTATCGTGGAAATGTGTTCCCTTCAAAAGTTGCCTTATTCGCAATTGCAGCGAATATTGGGAGTGCTCTAATGACTTTCTATTCGAGGATTATTAAACTCTCATTAGTAAATCTTTTCATTGCAATTATGAATTGAATATAAAGTTGTTCAGTTCTAATGTTGAAGAGTTTTACTATCTGCACACTTCGAAATCGCGGTTTTTGTTAGATTTGGAAGAGAGACAAAGAGTATGAAGACCAAGGCCAGTTAGGAGGTTGAACAATTAAGTTATAAATATAAAATGAATAAAGGGGTAGTGTGGCAGATACCAGTGGTGAGATGTTAACCTCCTGGATGAAAATGATATTTCCACTTTGACGCTGGAGAAGGCAGATATGAAGATTTCCTTCTTAGGCGATAAAGTTGACTCTCGAACTTGAGTTCTAATTTACGACTCTTTGTGATCAACATTTTCGAGTGACTTATATCTCTTCGGGATTCTCTCTTTTTAAGACTACTGCCATAATTGAGCAAATTGTCACTAACTGAGAATGTGTTAAATGCCTTTTTCTTTCAATGTTCGTAATTAATGAGATTATACTATTGTATGAATTTCTGCGATCAACAAGTGTTCATTTTAGAAGTAAATTACAAGTTAGATTACAATGGTCAGTACTTGCATATATCCTTTCGTATTATTCAATTATATAAAGTATTATTTTTGACATAATAAAATCCTTGTGCTCTGATCAATTTGGCAGGTACTATTTTGAGTGGATGGGGTATGCGATAGACTTCACGTGTTGCACCCTGGGTAACGTATACTCATACGACAAAAAAGTCTTTTAACCGGGAGTTGACTTCTGACTTCAAACTGCCATGACCCTACTGTATGTCATATTCGACCACTTCCACAGTACTCACCTCACCTTTTCTCTGCCTTTGTGTCTTTCTATCTCTTTTACATCTGTGAATCACCCTTCTGTTCCCCACCCCTCGACTTTCTGTTTCTTTGATATTCCTCCCCTCTGTGAAACCTGAAGTCAACTAAAGGGCTAATGATACCTATCAAAACGCCTGCCATTTGAAATAAATGAATAAATTTTGAGGGGATTGCTACAGCGATAAATGCTTGACAAACAAAATGCCAACTTTTCCATTCGTCTACTGGGTTTCTTTTGCTCACTTAATGGTGAGTTTAGCTAAATAATGCCAAGCAATTAACAATAACTGCTCGCCTTAAAACCGCAACTTCCCTTTTTCTAGCCTCTTTTGGGTTATTGTCAATGTTGATTAGTCATAATTAACTAATCCGGTTCTCTACTCTTACTATTTCACTCACTGTTTTAGGGGACAACGTGATTCGGGTCGTGGGTTTGGGGGGTGTCTCCCTTCTCTTGGATCTCTTGTTGGTTCTTCACCCATGTGATGATGATGAACGTCTTATTGATCTTCAACTCCTCACCATCAGGGCCTTGCAAACAATTACCGAACTGAGTAAGTGGTTTGTTCTCCAGTTCAGAAAAGCTTTCCTTCTCAATGATGTAAAACAAACTAAAATAATTTTTTTGAACCGAAGATCATTTTCTTGTCTTCTTAAAGTGGAATCGAATCGGACGTGGTCTCGATAGCTTTGTTATCGTACTCTTAGAGGTGAGAATGAATCATAGTAAAGTGTCTCTAGAAACCGTTTGTAATAGTTTGCGCTTGAAATATGTGATTTGCCTGCGATTTTGAATCGAAATGAATGAAAAACCCTTGTTTAAATTTGGAGCCGCTAATTATTTCCATGACTATTTGAGATTACCACTTTGCATATTTAGCTTTGATTAGCACTCTATCGGTTTCAATTATTGATTTGAATTATGATCCCTATATTACTGTAATAAGTCATTAGCTGACTAAAGTTCCAAATGCTTCAATCTGTCCACTGGACTACTTCAAAATGACCATCCTATATTTAATGTTATTTGGTTTTAGTAAGATATTGGGGAAGGTTGGGGACTAGACATTATCATAGGTCAATTAACAGCGTTAGTAGCTAACCCTAAAATCAAGCACTCATCTGTTTTATCACCGTAAATAAATCAGCTGCAGATTTACGAATAAAACAGCCGTTTGGTTGTATAGGTGTTATTTCCATTTCCGTACTCTTTTAAAGGAGCTGGAAGAGGTGCTCTAGTTGGCGCGGGTGGACTATTTTCTCTCTTCTCTCTCTGTGCCAATAGAGTTTCTGCCGTCAAACAATCATCCTCGTCTCCAACTACCGTTATATCCCACCATTCCGATCGACAGGCAACTGACATGGCAGTCAGCAACCATCTTATCATGCAGTCCTCTTCTTCTGAAACATTGGAAAGCCTGTATCAACCGTGGCGAAGTTCTGCAACCCTAATGGATAATTCTTCTGTTTCTTCAGGAAACTTCTCTAGAGAAACTACTCCACTAGTGCATACGATGTCTTCGACATCGGAAAATTTACCTTCGAAAAAGGAGAGGATAGCAAAGAGTATGGAATCGGTGATGAATGGAATTTGTGACCTGTTGAGACGGTGTTGTCCTTATGTCCCTCTCCCAGTATCACCTCAAGAACCAATTCTTCGAGTTCTTTTTAATAGAGGCAAGTTTGATTCTGAAGAACAGCGAATGTTTTCCCTATTTTTGCTTTGTCAATGGGTGCTATGTTTTATCAAATGCTTTAAAACTTCCGAGTTTATAAATAATAAAGAGAATTGGTTAGCATACTAAATCCACTGTCAAGACAATTGAGGCTATCTAAATTGGACACTTCAATTTCCAGAATTAGACCTCTTATGGAAGATTAATGATTGTTCCTCGACAAAAATGTGTGAGATTTCCTATTTTCTACATCTAATGGGATGATCAAGTATTTCTTTCAAGTGGCAGGCGTTTTAATAGTAATCATTAACCCTTCAGCTAACTTCGGGCTTCATAGAGAGGATGGAGGAGGAACATCAAAGTCGAGAGGGGGTACAGTAGAGTGATCCATAGATGTAAAGGAGACAGACATATTTGAAGGCTGAGAAAAGGCAAGATGAGTACTGTGGAAGGGGTCGAATATGGCATGCAGTGGGGTGGTGGTAGTATGAAGTCAGAAGTCAACTGTCGGTTTATGGACTTTTTTGCCGTATGAGTATACGTTGCCCAGGGTGTACCACGTTGAGGTAAGTCTATCCAACACCCCGGACGATCAATTATCATTTATGGGAAAATAAGGGCAAAGTTGTTTTGCCAATTTAATCGCAAGAAACCCGCTGTTAAAAGTACTGAGAGATTAGGGGGGGGGGGTTAGTGTTGCATCCACTTATCGGTCTGTTTTGTCTCTAATTTCTTTATTTCCAGATAAAGCATGTAAGAGCACCAGGTAAATTTGTTTATCGTGTTTAGAGTGTTTTGTATTCTTATTGTTCTTTTATGTGCGTATTTTATTACCTGTTAAGTTCTGAAACGTTCAGATTTGTGCTAACTATCTACCTTTCATGTTTTCTGTCCCCTCAAATTTCATGCCCCCTCGAGAAAAGCTCATTTATTCAATTTCCAGCATCCTTATTCAATCTGCTTTGAAATGCCGTTAAGGAGAAAAATGTTAATTTACTCTCTCCTGCTCGTTTTCTTTGGCATTTCTATTCCTTCCAGTTGCTTGTGGGATGCTCCCCATTGCAGTAGTTTGCAAACAGTTATTTTTCTGTCTGACTTAATTACATTTTATCCTATTTACCCCAAGCTTGTCTTCATTTGGTAGTACTAATTTCACGTTTACATAAGGTGGGCCATCAACGTCATTATCGGTTGAATTCCATCCCTATAAAAAGGATCCGTCTGACACGTATGCATGCTGCTGATGCGTCTCTCCCCCCAACC